AAAAAAAAAAAAAAAAAAAAAAAAAACAAAAAAAAAAAAAAAGATGTGCAGAGGAATCAACGGATTTACGACAGAAAAAAACTGAGAGACTGCTCGCCAGGGAACAGACTCATCCGAACAAACACCGTCAGTTATCAGCGTATGTCAACAAAGGCTCAACCGGTACAAACGCATGCGCGGGTAGGGGGAAGTCGGTGTCCACCCAGACTTTAAGTCACCATAGATTGGAGAGCTCTGGTTGCCGAACGATAAGTTTCGCGTCAATACTTGAGGCCCAGGTATAAGACCCATGAGATCCAGATTTGCACATGTAGGACTCTTTGGTGTCCAGCAACATTCTTCCCGTCCAAGAAATTCCCTCGTCTCTTGTATTCTGTTTTGCATCATCTTGATACCGAATCAATTCACACAATCCACAACCATGTCGTCCCTCCCCAAGACATATAAGGCCTGGGTCGTCGAGAAGGCGGGTGGTCCCATGGTCCTCAAGGACTTGGAACTGAAGCAGCCTGGCCCTAACCAAGTCCTCGTCAGAGTGCGCGCCTGTGGCGTTTGTCACTCGGACACGGGCATGTCATCCGGTGCCTTTGGCGATGTGTTCCCCCGTGTGCCCGGCCACGAGCTCGTTGGCGATGTGGTCGCTGTTGGTGAGGGCGTTACTCGGTTTTCTGGTGGCGAGCGCGTTGGTGGCCCCTGGCATGGCGGTAAGTTTACGTGAGCTGTCTCACAAGTCGCCTAACCACTGACGAGACGGTAGGCCACGATCTGGCATGCCGACAGTGCCAACGTGGACAGTTCCAGATGTGCGATCATGCAGCTATCAATGGCGTGACCCAAGACGGTGGCTATGCCGAGTATGCGCTTCTGCGCTCCGAGGCTGTTGTTCGAATCCCTAAGGAGCTCGACGTAGCCGAGGTTGCGCCCCTCCTGTGCGCCGGCGTCACTGTCTTCAACAGTATCCGCAAGATGCAGGTTGAGCAGGGCAACCTAGTTGCCGTCCAGGGCGTTGGCGGTCTGGGCCACCTGGCTGTCCAGTACGCCGTCAAGATGGGTTACAAGGTCGCTGTGCTGAGCTCGGGCTCGGCCAAGGAAGACTTTGCTAGGAAGCTCGGCGCGCACGAATACATTGACTCGAGCAAGGACGACCCCGTCAAGAAGCTGCAGGAGCTCGGCGGCGCCGCGCTCATTGTGGCCACGGCTCCCAACCCAAAGGCGATTTCCCCGCTGACGGCTGGTCTGCAGCCCGCTGGCAAGTTGTGCATCCTGGCGCCCGTGGGTGGGCTCGAGATCAACTCAATTGACCTCATCCTTGGTGGCAGGTCCGTGTGGGGATGGCCTGCAGGACATGCACTCGACTCGGAGGAGGCGATCGCATTTGCGAGCACTCACAACGTCAAGTGCATGGTTGAGAAGTTCCCCATGTCCCAGGCTAAGGAGGCGACGGACCACATGCTACAGAACAAGGTGCGCTTCAGGAGTGTCCTTATGATTGATGAGTAGATTCTGGGCGAATACCCAATGAATGAAGTCATGGGAGTGTCGGGTAGCGGGCGTTGTTGTCTGGGTGGGTGATGGTTAGTTAAACCACGAAAATACCGAATCAAAAGAGCATCATGGCGTCATGAAAATCGTGCGTCACGCGCTCAACCTGAACCGAGCTACATTCGAAGTAACTTGTCGTATCTGCAGGACGTTTGACTGACAACAAGAGGCTCGCTACAGTTCCCCGCGACGGAGCCAAGAAGATACACCAATGGGGCGCCAATTGGCCATCTTGACTCGGATCCGGCAACGTCGCAATGCTGGTTCCTGGTCTACATGAGGAGCTGATCGGCACCAGCCGTACCACAGGAACCCCGCGCCGCGAGAGCGCTCCCTGAAGAACCGCTGGTTGAAGCCCTCTCCTCCACTGCGCTATTGATCCTTCCATCTTGAAGCTGATGCAGCCGTCTGCCAGTCACTCTTTGCCGACGGATATTTGGATGCGGGCAGACAGCTCAGTGGCTACCGGCGCGCTGGTCCCTTCCGAGATGGACAGCGGTCGTGATGTGGTCGCGGCGGCGTTCGGGCCATCTCGGCGCGCTGACATGGGCCGCTGCGGGCACGTGGCAAGGATGATGATGTGCCATATTGCTATGGTTCTGCGGAGTCAGACCCTTGCTTCCCTCCCCCGGATTTCGGGATGTTCCCCTTGGACAACAAGCCGGGGACGACGTGGGGTTGTGGGTGTCCTTGGCCGGGATGCCTGGGCCGTCTTGACTGAATAAAGCTGAGCTCATATCGCCCCAAATGGTACGACAGACAAGGTGACCAGATGTCCAACACTTGACCAAGTTGACGAAAGATGGTGTCACTTAGGAGTACGTTCTGGCTCATGCTGCCTATCGCGGCGCTCGGCCAGATCGACAGGCAAGTCCGAGCCCGGAAAACATCTCTGCCCACGGCCGGCCGCTCTAACACAAACAGGCATCGCATCGTGAGCGATAACAATATTGTGCGGACGAAACTGATCAACAATGAGACGACACCTCTTCAGGTTGGAAACGGCAACTTTGCCTTTGGCGTAGACACGACTGGCATGCAGACCTATCTGCCGTTCAACACCATGTCGGTGTGGGCGTGGCACAACGATACCGAGCCCAGCGGCGGGTGTGTTTGCCCCTTTCAGAACATGATCATGACCAAAGAAGCTGAACGAGCAACCTCCCCAGGAATAAGATATCAGACTACACCGGCGTGCCGATGGAGACCCACGGCCGCAATGTCTCTTATGATATACCGGACCCCAAGCTCCCCGACGTCTCGCAGTGGCTCATCAGCAACCCTAACAGAGTCAACCTCGGCCGGATCGGCCTCCGCTACAGGAACGCCACGCTGTCGGCGGCCCGCATCTCAGACACGCGCCAGGAGCTCGACCTCTGGAGCGGCGTCATCACCTCCACGTTCACCGTCGACGGCCGCCCGGTCAAAGTCGTCACGCAGGGCGACTTTGACTCGGACGCCGTCGTCTTTCGATATCGACTCGGAGCTGATCCAGTCCGGAGACCTGACGGTCGAGCTCGACTTTCCGTACCCGCCGATCCACTCGACAAAGTACAAGTACGAGGTCTTTGTCGGCGTCTACGACTTTCCGGCCAACCACACGACGAGACTGACGCGCAGCTGCGAGGCGAACACGGCGCACATTTACCACGAGATGCAGGCGACGAGATACAACGTCAACCTCCGCTGGCCGGACATGAGTCCGCTTTCCCTGCAGAAGGTCGAACCAGAGGGTTCAACGGCCCTCACGGCGCACAGGTATACCCTAGCACCTGCATCCGGAAGGGGGGAACAGAAGCCATCTTCGCTCTCGTTCACGGCGCACTTCTCTCCGCGAAAACGCCTGCCAGATCTGCCGGAGACGATCAGGGCGCGCAACACGGATGGATGGCACGATTACTGGGATCAGGGCGGCTTCGTTGACCTGACCGCCTCGACGAACCCAAACGCAACGGAGCTGCAGCGGCGCATCATTACTTCGCAGTATCACGTTCGCGTCAATAGCGCTGCAAAAGGCGAGTCTCCTCAGGAGAGCGGACTCATGTTTTTTTGGGTGGTACGGAATGTGCACTCATCTACAATCATCCACACTCGTGGGAGAGAGAGAGCTGGTGGGCGCATGCTTACGCTTTGCAGGCAAGTTTCACATGGAGATGGTGGTCTGGCATAACGCACATTGGGGTTTCGTGGGGGTCGTGAAGAGCATTTCCACAACATTTTCCCTGCCCTTTATGAAAAGCTGCTACCGACCTCTTTTGCCCGGGCCAAGCTCATGGGCTGGGAGGGCGCTCGATGGCCCAAGATGACGGACACGATGACAGGGCGGAGCTCACAGGCCTCATCAACGCTCTTCTGCTATGGCAGCAAGTATGTCACAATCGTGTACAGCTCGGAAGAGAACCATCTGACAAATGCACAGCCACACCCAATGTACATGGCGATGCTGGCGTATAAGACCAAGCCAACGCAGGAGACCCTTGAACGGTGGGATCCGATACTCGAGGCGACTGCCGACTACATGGCGTCATACGCCTGGTACAACGAGTCGTCTGGAAATTACGACCTCGGCCCTCCGTGAGTTCGTTCGTCACCTCCTACAAGTCATGACTAACGATGTGCAGCTCTTTCGGTGTCACGGAAAACACTCCACCCGAGGACACCCTGAACCTTGCATATGAGCTTGCGTACTGGCGCTACGGCCTCGATGTCGCACGCGAGTGGAAGAAGAGGCTGGCTCGGCCTGTTCCCGGGCACTGGACGACAGTCGCTTCCAAGTTGTCAAAACCCCCGCAGGTCGACGGTCTGTACGCCGTGTACGAAGGCGTCAACTCGACGTGGTGGCAGGATCCTAAACTGAACGGAGATCCACGGAGCCTCATCATGATGCAGGGCATCCTGCCCAACACGCCGGCGGTAGATGAGGAGGTCGGACGACGCACGGCAGATAAGGTGTGGGAGGTCTGGACTGACCAGAAAATACGGGGCTGGGGGAGACCGATCCTAGCGATCAACTCGGCGAGAGTCGGGAACCCAGAGCGTGCTATTTATCACTTGACGGCGTATGATTATTGGAAGTTTGACGATGCTGGTAAGTGCCACCATGGCTGAGGGAGGGCGAGGGACTCGGTTGCTAACGGAATGTGCGCGATGTAGGCTTCGCCATTCGAGGCGGTGACGGCGGGACGCCGCCCCCTTTTGTGCCCGGGAACGCCGGGTTTTCTCTTGGCCGGTCAGTTACCATTTGCTTTCAGTTTGGTGTCGATGCTGTCTCGTAGTTGGCTGACGATTGACTTGCAGTTGCGTACATGGCTGAGGGATGGGAGGGATCATCCAGTGACGCTCCGGGCTTCCCTAAGAAAGGCGGTTGGGTGGTCAAGCACGAGGGCCTTCGCAAGGCTTTGTGAGGGCGTCTCATTTGATCTATTGGCCGTTGAGAATGTATGAATAGGTAATCATAGCTTCTCGAACATGGAATGGAGACCTGCAGAAATCACGGCTGCGGGTTTTCGCATCCGAGCACGTCACATCGTGCTATGCTGGGCATGATTCGTGGACACGGCGTTGAATCGTCCTTCGCATCGTTGTCACCTAGCTTCTGGAAGTCGATGCAACACCAATAAGCCCATTGGAGAGGATGTGACTTGGATAATGCGGCTGGGCATAAAATGGTTGTTGTGGGAGGTTCGACTGAGCGAGAGAGTCACAGTCAATCTTTGGTTGAGGGCCCAGGCCCATGGTTCGATTCACCTGCTGAGCAAATGTTGGGTTCGCGAGCTTGGGTCGCCCTGTCTCAGCCACCAAGCCGTTTTGGATGCTGATCTGCGTTTCAATGGTCTTGTGGGATGAGAAAGAGAGGCTGAAATCCAGCGCACAGCCGTGAGAACTTTGTCTCTTGCGCCCTTGAACGCGTTGCTGCTCAATGGTCAGTAGGCTGGTCAACCCCTCGAACCGTTTCATGCATGACGGGACATTTCTGAGGTATATTTGAGTCAGCAACAATCGACTGCGACCTCAAGATCTAGATGCGAGTCAAGGGCGCTGATCTCAAGTGCCGATAGACCCAGGCGCCACCTAAAGAGAGTTGCGCCCAAACCTGGGTTGGACTGCGATCGGTGGTGGTGGGCGTTGACGCCTCGCAGGGCCTGTCGTCATGTCGGCTGCCCCATACCCTAGTCGGAATGGCTCTGAGCTCGTTTGGGTCTCCTCGAAGGGCTGCATGCGCGCTCCACATCAACGGAGCTCCCTTTAGCAACGGACGTTGCCAGGCCGGTTGGTCCAGGCCGCTGGCGACGGCATGGGTGCGCGTAGGGCGTTGGAATGTTGCTGGGTGATGAGTTCATCTCGATGAGCTCTTTGGGCTGGTGCCTGGCTGCGGCAGACACGTTTCTCAGGACGCAGGTGTCTCTGCTGTTCGTGTCTTAGTCTGCCTGTCTGCTGAGCTTCCATAGGACGAGGGCCATCTTGACAGCCCGAGGTCGGCTGGAGATGGGTTGCAGAGGTTGCAGAGGTTGCAGAGGTTGCAGAGGTTGCAGAGGTTGCAGAGGTTGCATGGACCACAGTCCGGGCTGCAGATGGCTGCATATGGTGGAGGCTGACTTTCGTCCCAGCATCTGGTTCGAGGATACACCGGCGGCCGGCAGACCCCCAACAGGACGCACTGTCATGATCGTCAGGTGCACCTGGGCGCCCGTGGTTTTGAGTTTAAGCCATGTGCTAGTGACTTGTTTCTCGAGGCAGTCACATCTGCGCCCGCCCTGCATCTGAGGAAAGCACAAACGGCGGTGCGAAAGTGGGAGACCAGGCAAGAAGGGCCCCGCCGTCCCTTCTGTCTGTTTAAGACAGTCCCTTCCCTGCGATTACGCCCGCAACCGGCATCGGCGCTCCTCCATCTCATCCCTCGTTCACCGCACGTCACTTGTCAATGATCACCAACTTGTTGAGATGAAGAGGATGCTCTTCGCGTGCATCTTCTTCCACTCTTGCGCCATCGCGTTTCTCCTCCCGCTGGACGCCTGTGAACCCAAACGGCTGCCAGGCCGCACTGCTTGATCAACGGGCCGTGGCCCCGAAACGGCACTCAGAGTCAGCCAACCACCATGTTCGACGTTGATCATGGCATCGTCAGCAACTCGACTCGCGACCTCAACGCCGCCTTCCCCATTGTCATCTTCATCACCATAGCTCTCTACAATGCCGTCGAACTCGCCTGCATCATCTTCTTCACCTTCAAGAAGCGCAATGGCCTGTATTTCTGGAGCTTTTGCGTCGCCACCTTTGGTCTCGTGCCCTACTCCATCGGTTTCCTGCTGAAGGGCCTGGGCATCAACACGCGGCTCATCTATCTCTATGTCACCATGATCGTTATCGGCTGGTCCTTTCTTGTCACTGGCCAGTCGGTTGTCTTGTACTCGCGGCTGCACCTCGTCGACCGCGACCCGAGACACCTGCGCTTTGTTCTCGCCATGGTCGTCACAAACGCCATCATTTGCCATATTCCCGTGTCTATCCTCATCTACGGCGCCAACTCATCGGACCCGGAAGGATTCCTGTTGGTCTATTCTGTTTATGAGAAGATCCAGATTACCATTTTCTTCCTCCAGGAGCTCATTATATCCATCATGTACATTGTGGCCACGACCAAGCTCTTCCGCGACTCGACCCTTCACGCCAAATCTGCCCGCAAGCGGATGCTCTGGCATCTCATCCTTGTCAACATCGTCGTCATTCTGCTAGACATAACCATCCTAGGCTTGGAGTACGCTGGCTATTACGAACTGCAGACTGCTTACAAGGCACTTGTCTACTCGATCAAGCTCAAGCTCGAGTTCAATATCCTTAACGGCCTCATAGATCTTTCAGGGGGTCGCATGGGCACGTCTTCCGGGCGGAACGACTACATCTTCGACGGCAGCCAGCGCGTGCCCGCCTGCTTTGACAGTCTGCCTGCTATGGCCATGGACACCATCGAGGTCGGCGGCACGTTGCAGGACGAGCTTGCTAGAAAGGGTGCCATTGCGAACCCTGAAATTGGCCGGCGGTACTCTGCCCATGTCCAGACCGGCCGCGAACCTACAGACGAGGCAAGGAGCGGCACGGCCGACGGCATATTGATCATGAAAACGACTGAGGTCAATATTGTGCGTGATAGCGAGATTGAGAGGCAGATGAAATGTCTGAGGCGAATATCGACGACCTCGCTGCCTAGGACTGGCAGCTTAGAAATGGCGACAACGCTCGAGCCAGGGGCAGGATCGGCTTCGTCGTCGGAGATTGGGTTTGCGAAGAATGGCGCATAGTGTGGTAACGGTAATGAATCTAATGATACCCTCCTCCGTTTTTCTACGTCACTCATCCTTGGCTCATGATGTGAATGCTTACAGACTCTACCGACATGTAGGGCTCAGTAGTGAAGCGTCCTGTTGATCTCGTTGATCAACGGCTTGCCCTCGGACCAGCGCTCCAGGTTCTGTTCAAAGATGGCCAGCGCACGATCCCAGTAGGCCGTGCTCCGACCGCTGACGTGCGGCGTAAGGAAGACGTTTGGTGCCTTCCATAGCGGGTGGTCCGCCGGCAGCGGCTCCGGGTCCGTGACATCGAGAGCTGCCCCTCGAATCTTGCCTTGCTCAAGCGCCGCCACGAGGGCCTCCTGATCAATAAGCTTGCCGCGCGCAATGTTGGACACGAATGTCTTCTTCTTGGACAAGATGTCGAACTGCTTTGCCCCAAGGATCCCGTCCGTCTCCTTCGTCAGTGGCAGACCTACGACGAGGAGGTCAAGGTCCTGCGCGAGAAAGTCGTTGACGGATTCGACGTCGGCGCCGTGGAACCAGCGCGCCGGCAGCACGCCTTCTGGGTCGCCCGTGCCAGGGACCCAGTAGCTGTCGTCCTTCCGGGAGGCCGGGTCCGCGCGCTCGCTGCGCGGTAGGCGTACACTTCCATGCCCAGGGCCTGCGCAACGGGCCCGCACTGCGGCCGATGGCGCCGTAGCCGAGAACACCCCTAGTCATCGGGAGGGGGTCAGTCATGCGCACAGTTCACGAAGTGGGGGAGCGGGGGGGGGCGCGACAAGGCGGGGCGGGCACGACTTACATGCGGAGGCCGACAGAGTCCTCGACGGGGTAAGCGAGACGGTTGGCCCACGAGGCCTCGCGCTGGCTGTCATGGTAGTGCAGGAAGCGGTGTTGGTGGGACAGCCACGTTCCGATGACCCATTCCGCTATTTGCGGGCTGTCACGGCCGGGTCAGTCGACGACTTGATGTACCCCGAGGGGGGGGGGAGCTTGGGGCTTGAAGGAATCAAAAGGACGTACGGGTGGACGCCGTTGGCCGAGCAAAAAACGACGTCTGGATTCAGATACAGGGCGTGGTCGAGCCACCGGTCCGCGCCGGCGGAGGAGAGCTGCACAAAGCGCACGTTGGGGATGAGCTCGGCGCGCGGCGTCAGCCAGCTTGAGTAGATGGTGATGTCCTTCCACAGCGCGGCGGGGATCTCGTCCGGCGTCGTCAGCGCCCCCGAGCTCGTGCAGTCGACCCAGCGGATCTCGATGCCCGGGTAGCGCGACTCGATGCGGCTGATCCAGTCTTGCTTCGGCGGCGAGGCCACGAGCAGGAGGATCTTGTCGCTGCTGAGGGCCGTTGGGCCCTTTGCTGGGCTCATCGTGGGCACGTCGCGGGCACGCCTACTGAGGGGTCGTGTTTTGGTGATGCACTCTTCGTTGGCGAGAGGAGTGGGGTTTAGTTCAGAGTGAGAATAAATGAGTGCTGTTGACTTGTGGTTGAGCGAGATGTATTGCAGCAACATTCACTCAAGACACAAGTTGTCCAAGGTGTGAGTTTGGAACGATGACAGCATTTCGACAATGCATTGCTCATCCGCAGGATTGATGCGGGATTGGAGGGCAAACGTGGAGTAGCGCTGATAAGCGTCACTGGGTGGAGGAGACATGACAATGCTAGCCGATGTCGGCGTGCGGATCTCATACGCCCTTTGTGAGAAAGGCCGTGATGTTGGATGCAGCAGCAATGCGTCTAGATTCATGACATGCCCGGTGCACGTGCTGGGTGCCGTGGCCTGCTGATTCTGGAAGGATCTTGAAGCGGTGTGCAAGTCTATCAGTGGCCGTGCTGGATCGTGCCGGATCGTGCCGTAACGTGCTAGGTATCTAGGTAGCGCACCGGCCGGCATGCACGTCGAAGAATTGAGGGAGCGAGGAAATAGCCCTGACTCGAGATACGATTGAGGGAGCTTTGCTAATGCTATGGAGGATCTCGCATCCTCGAGCATCGGCCTCCCAGGGCGGAACGGCTCAACCAGCCTACATGACAGCGCCTCCTGGGAGAGGCACGCTTCCTGCTCGAGAAATGAGACTAGACCACACCGTTTTCCAAAACAGATCTCCATGTTGCCCGACCCCTTGCCTGCTTCCATTTTCTGCCATCGACTCCCCCCTCATGACGTGTGCCGCCGGCAGCATCGGCGGGCGTGTGCCTGGGCATCTACGCAGATGTAGCATCATCATGATGCGTCACGCCTTTGCGAATAGAAGACGTGGCTGGATCCAACACTGCGCATCTGAGCAGCCAGGTCACTGACCCGCTGCGCACCTATGGTCCTGTGCTACCTCAAGCCGGGTGACGAGCCGCCGAAGATCGACGCCATACGGAGAGATAACACACAGTGGGTGTTGAGCTTTCGTTGCTGTCGTCAGGGTCATAGGTATGGGAGGTGTCGAATATCTTTGAAAACAAGGCCTCATTTCTCATGGTCGTACAAAAACAACCAGATGCTGACAGGTTCAGGATGACTGTCCGTCCACCAGCCCTGGGGCGTCGTGCGGCCTGGCTATCATGACCAGGCCAAAACGAAGGACAGGGCATCACTGCTTGCGGTAAGATGGGTGATGTTTTACCACGCTGGCCATCCTTTCGCGCCCGCAACGAAGAAAAGGGACAACCTGATGGCGACACTGGCAGCCCAGAAGGAACATGTTAACCAAGATTGGACCAAGATCAAACGCTGGCGGTTGCCAGCATGTCGGCTTCTTCAGTTGTCAATCTCCGAGGCGGGACGCAGGGACGGTGTCGGAGAGGCAGCAGCAACGACAACAAGTTCCGTCGTCGCGAGGACAATGGCTGACGTTGGGGCCGCCGGTGACTGGGCGGCGACGTCGTGCGAAGAGGTGGCTGGGACGGCATGTGTCGAAACGGCATCTGCTTCTGG